TTGGTCTTTTTCTCTTGTTGACAACCAAATGTATTGGGCTTTTTCTCTTGCTGGCAACCAAATATATTTGTCTTTTTCTCTTGTTGACAACCAAATGTAGTGGTCTTTTTCTCTTGCTGGCAACCAAATGTATTTGGCTTTTTCTCTTGTTGACAACCAAATGTATTGGGCTTTTCTCCTGCTGGCAACCAAATGTATTTGGCTTTTTTCTCTTGCTGGCAATCCAAATGTATTTATTTTTCTCTTGTTGACAACCAAATGTATTGGGCTTTTTCTTTTGTAGGCAACCAAATGTATTTGGCTTTTTCTCTTGCTGGCAACCAAATGTATTTGGCTATTTCTATTGCTGGCAACCAAATGTATATGGCTTTTTCTCTTGTTGACAACCAAATGTATTTGGCTTTTTCTCTTTTGACAACCAAATTTATTTGTCTTTTTCTCTTTTGACAAGCAAATGTATTTGGCTTTTTCTCTTGTTGACAACCAAATGTATTTTGGCTTTTTTTCTCTTGCTGGCAACCAAATGTATTTGGCTTTTTCTCTTCTTGTTGGCAACCAAATGTATTTGTCTTTTTTCTCTTGCTGGCAACAAATGTATTTGGCTTTTTCTCTTGTTGACAACCAAATGTATTGGGCTTTTTTTTCTCTCCTGCTGGCAACCAAATGTATTTGGCTTTTTTCTCTTGCTGGCAACCCAACGTATTTGGCTTTTTCTCTTGTTGACAGCCAAATGTATTGGGCTTTTTTCTTTTTGTAGGCAAGCAAATGTATTTGGCTTTTTCTCTTGCTGGCAACCAAATGTATTTGGCTTTTTCTCTTGTTGACAACCAAATACTTTGGGCTTTTTCTCTTGTTGACAACCAAATGTATTTGGCTTTTTCTCTTGCTGGCAACCAAATGTATTTGGCTTTTTCTCTTGCTGGCAACCAAATGTATTTGGATTTTTCTCTTGTTGACAACCAAATGTATTTGGCTTTTTCTCTTGCTGGCAACCCAACGTATTTGGCTTTTTCTTTTGTTGACAGCCAAATGTATTGGGCTTTTTCTTTTGTAGGCAAGCAAATGTATTTGGCTTTTTCTCTTGCTGGCAACCAAATGTATTTGGCTTTTTCTCTTGTTGACAACCAAATACATTGGGCTTTTTCTCTTGTTGACAACCAAATGTATTTGGCTTTTTCTCTTGCTGGCAACCAAATGTATTTGGCTTTTTCTCTTGCTGGCAACCAAATGTATTTGGCTTTTTCTCTTGTTGACAACCAAATGTATTTGTCTTTTTCTCTTGTTGACAACCAAATGTATTTGTCTTTTTCTCTTGTTGACAACCAAATGTATTTTTCTTTTTCTCTTGTTGACAACCAAATGTATTTGGCTTTTTCTGTTGTTGACAACCAAATGCATTGGGCTTTTTCTCTTGTTGACAACCAAATGTATTTGTCTTTTTCTCTTGTTGACAACCAAATGTATTTGGCTTTTTCTGTTGTTGACCACCAAATGTATTTGGTTTTTTATCTTGTGGACAACCAAGTGTAGTGGGCTTTTTCTCTTGTTGACAACCAAATGTATTTGGCTTTTTCTCTTGTTGACAACCAAGTGTAGTGGGCTTTTTCTCTTGTTGACAACCAAATGTATTTATCTTTTTCTCTTGTTGACAACCAAATGCATTTGTCTTTTTCTCTTGTTGACAACCAAATGTATTTGTCTTTTTCTCTTGTTGACAACCAAATGTATTGGGCTTTTTTCTTGCTGGCAACCAAATATATTTGTCTTTTCTCTTGTTGACAACCAAATGTAGTGGTCTTTTTCTCTTGCTGGCAACCAAATATATTTGGCTTTTTCTCTTGTTGACAACCAAATGTATTGGGCTTTTTCTCCTGCTGGCAACCAAATGTATTTGGCTTTTTCTCTTGCTGGCAACCCAACGTATTTGGCTTTTTCTCTTGTTGACAGCCAAATGTATTGGGCTTTTTCTTTTGTAGGCAACCAAATGTATTTGGCTTTTTCTCTTGCTGGCAACCAAATGTATTTGGCTTTTTCTATTGCTGGCAACCAAATGTATATGGCTTTTTCTCTTGTTGACATCCAAATGTATTTGGCTTTTTCTCTTGTTGACAACCAAATTTATTTGTCTTTTTCTCTTTTTGACAAGCAAATGTATTTGGCTTTTTCTCTTGTTGACAACCAAATGTATTTGGCTTTTTCTCTTGCTGGCAACCCAACGTATTTGGCTTTTTCTCTTGCTGGCAACCAAATGTATTTGTCTTTTCTCTTGCTGGCAACCAAATGTATTGGGCTTTTTCTCTTGTTGACAACCAAATGTATTTGGCATTTTTCTCTTGTTGACAATCAAATGTATTTGTATTTTTCTCTTGCTGGTAACCAAATGTATTTGTCTTTTTCTCTTGCTGGCAACCAAATGTATTTGGCTTTTTCTCTTGTTGACAACCAAATGTATTGGGCTTTTTCTCCTGCTGGCAACCAAATGTAATGGGCTTTTTCTCTTGCTGGCAACCAAATGTATTTGGCTTTTTCTCTTGTTGACAACCAAATGTATTGGGCTTTTTCTCTTGCTAGCAAACACTTTTTCTCCTGCTGGCAACCAAATGTATTGGGCTTTTTCTCCTGCTGGCAACCAAATGTATTGGGCTTTTTCTCTTGTTGACAACCAAATGTATTTGTATTTTTCTCTTGCTGGCAACCAAATGTATTTGGTTTTTCTCTTGTTGACAACCAAATGTATTGGGCTTTTTCTCCTGCTGGCAACCAAGTGTAATGGGCTTTTTCTCTTGCTGGCAACCAAATGTATTTATTTTTCTATTGTTGACAACCAAATGTATTGGCTTTTTCTCCTGCTGGCAACCAAATGTATTGTGCTTTTTTCTCTTGCAGGCAACCAAATGTATTTGGCTTTTCTCTTGTTGACAACCAAATGTATTGGGCTTTTTCTCTTGCTGGCAGCCAAATGTATTGGGCTTTTTCTCTTGCAGGCAACCAAATGTATTTGGCTTTTTCTCTTGCTGGCAACCAAATGTATTTGGCTTTTTCTCTAGTTGACAACCAAATGTATTGGGCTTTTTCTCCTGCTGGCAACCAAATGTATTTGGCTTTTTCTCTTGCTGGCAACCCAACGTATTTGGCTTTTTCTCTTGTTGACAGCCAAATGTATTGGGCTTTTTCTTTTGTAGGCAACCAAATGTATTTGGCTTTTTCTCTTCCTGGCAACCAAATGTATTTGGTTTTTCTCTTGTTGACAAACAAATGCATTGGGCTTTTTCTCTTGTTGACAACCAAATGTATTTGTCTTTTTCTCTTGTTGACAACCAAATGTATTTGGCTTTTTCTGTTGTTGACAACCAAATGCATTGGGCTTTTTTTTTCTTGTTGACAACCAAATGTATTTGGCTTTTTCTCTTGCTGGCAACCAAATGTATTTGGCTTTTTCTCTTGCTGACAACCAAATGTATTTGGCTTTTTCTCTTGTTGACAACCAAATGTATTGGGCTTTTTCTCCTGCTGGAAACCAAATGTATTTGGCTTTTTCTCTTGCTGGCAACCCAACGTATTTGGATTTTTCTCTTGTTGACAGCCAAATGTATTGGGCTTTTTCTTTTGTAGGCAACCAAGTGTATTTGGCTTTTTCTCTTGCTGGCAACCAAATGTATTTGGCTTTTTCTCTTGTTGACAACCAAATGCATTGGGCTTTTTCTCTTGTTGACAACCAAATATATTTGTCTTTTTCTCTTGTTGACAACCAAATGTATTTGGCTTTTTCTGTTGTTGACAACCAAATGCATTGGGCTTTTTCTCTTGCTGGCAACCAAATGTATTTGGCTTTTTCTCTTGCTGGCAACCAAATGTATTTGGCTTTTTCTCTTATTGACAACCAAATGTATTTGGCTTTTTCTCTTGTTGACAACCAAATGTAGTGGGCTTTTTCTCTTGTTGACAACCAAATGTATTTATCTTTTTCTCTTGTTGACAACCAAATGTATTTGTCTTTTTCTCTTGTTGACAACCAAATGTATTTGTCTTTTTCTCTTGTTGACAACCAAATGTATTGGGCTTTTTCTCTTGCTGGCAACCAAATATATTTGTCTTTTTCTCTTGTTGACAACCAAATGTAGTGGTCTTTTTCTCTTGCTGGCAACCAAATGTATTTGGCTTTTTCTCTTGTTGACAACCAAATGTATTGGGCTTTTTCTCCTGCTGGCAACCAAATGTATTTGGCTTTTTCTCTTGCTGGCAACCCAACGTATTTGGCTTTTTCTCTTGTTGACAGCCAAATGTATTTGGCTTTTTTCTTTTGTAGGCAACCAAATGTATTTGGCTTTTTCTTGGGCAACCAAATGTATTTGGCTATTTCTATTGCTGGCAACCAAATGTATATGGCTTTTTTTCTCTTGTTGACAACCAAATGTATTTGGCTTTTCTCTCTGTTGACAACCAAATTTATTTGTCTTTTTCTCTTTTTGACAAGCAAATGTATTTGGCTTTTTCTCTTGTTGACAACCAAATGTATTTGGCTTTTTCTCTTGCTGGCAACCAAATGTATTTGGCTTTTTCTCTTGCTGGCAACCAAATGTATTTGTCTTTTTCTCTTGCTGGCAACCAAATGTATTTGGCTTTTTCTCTTGTTGACAACCAAATGTATTGGGCTTTTTCTCCTGCTGGCAACCAAATGTATTTGGCTTTTTCTCTTGCTGGCAACCCAACGTATTTGGCTTTTTCTCTTGTTGACAGCCAAATGTATTGGGCTTTTTCTTTTGTAGGCAAGCAAATGTATTTGGCTTTTTCTCTTGCTGGCAACCAAATGTATTTGGCTTTTTCTCTTGTTGACAACCAAATACATTGGGCTTTTTCTCTTGTTGACAACCAAATGTATTTGGCTTTTCTCTTGCTGGCAACCAAATGTATTTGGCTTTTCTCTTGTTGACAACCAAATGTGTTGGCTTTTCTCTTGTTGACAACCAAATGTATTTGGCTTTTCTCTTGTTGACAACCAAATGTATTTGGCTTTTTCTCTTGCTGGCAACCCAACGTATTTGGCTTTTTCTCTTGTTGACAGCCAAATGGATTGGGCTTTTTCTTTTGTAGGCAAGCAAATGTATTTGGCTTTTTCTCTTGCTGGCAACCAAATGTATTTGGCTTTTTCTCTTGTTGACAACCAAATACATTGGGCTTTTTCTCTTGTTGACAACCAAATGTATTTGGCTTTTTCTCTTGCTGGCAACCAAATGTATTTGGCTTTTTCTCTTGCTGGCAACCAAATGTATTTGGCTTTTTCTCTTGTTGACAACCAAATGTATTTGGCTATTTCTCTTGTTGACAACCAAATGTATTTGGCTTTTTCTCTTGTTGACAACCAAATGTATTTGGCTTTTTCTCTTGCTGGCAACCAAATGTATTTGGCTTTTTCTCTTGCTGGCAACCAAATGTATTTGGCTTTTTCACTTGTTGACAACCAAATGTATTTGGCTTTTTCTCTTGTTGACAACCAAATGTATTTGGCTTTTTCTCTTGTTGACAACCAAATGTATTTGGCTTTTTCTCTTGTTGACAACCAAATGTAGTGGGCTTTTTCTCTTGCTGGCAACCTAATGTATTTGTCTTTTTCTCTTGTTGACAACCAAATGTATTTGCCTTTTCTCTTTCTGGCAACCAAATGTATTTGGCTTTTTCTCTTGTTGACAACCAAATGTAGTGGGCTTTTTCTCTTGCTGGCAACCAAATGTATTTGTCTTTTTCTCTTGTTGACAACCAAATGTATTTGGCTTTTTTTCTTGTTGACAACCAAATGTATTTGTCTTTTTCTCTTGTTGACAACCAAATGTATTTTTCTTTTACTCTTGTTGACAACCAAATGTATTTTGCTTTTTCTCTTGTTGACAACCAAATGTATTTGGCTTTTTCTCTTGCTGGCAACCAAATTTATTTGTCTTTTTCTCTTGTTGACAACCAAATGTATTTGGCTTTTTCTCTTGTTGACAACCAAATGTATTTGTCTTTTTCTCTTGTTGACAACCAAATATATTGGGCTTTTTCTCCTGCTGGCCACCAAATATATTGGGCTTTTTCACTTGCTGGCAACCAAATTTATTTCTCTTTTTCTCTTGTTGACAACCAAATGTTTTGGGCTCTTTCTCCTGCTAGCAACCAAATGTATTGGGCTTTTTCTCCTGCTGGCAACCAAATATATTGGGCTTTTTCTCTTGTTGACAACCAAATGTATTTAGCTTTTTCTCTTGTTGACATCCAAATGTATTTAGCTTTTTCTCTTGTTGACATCCAAATATATTTGTCTTTTTCTCTTTTTGACAACCATACATTTGTTAGTAAATGCGACATAACATATCAAAATAGTTGACAACTATAAAATAGATTATCACTAAAGATTGTTTAATTTTTTTTCTGTACAGATGAATGTGATACGAGGTTTCTCAAATGTTAAAACAATAAATTAACAGATTTCTTCAATTTATGCAATCATCGTTTTTTTTTTTCTCTCGTAATATTATTTTTACAACTACTTTGACAGAATTTCACAAGTCTAACGACTTTCCGTTATTGGTTAATACAGATTTACTTCATTGACTATGTGCGTTTTAGTGGCGTGGTGGTTATCGGCGACGCAAGTGGGAATGGTGTGATGAGTTCAAATGCCGGCGGAAATCATTGTATTCACTTTCGCCCCAATACCCCTTGAAAGGTATGAACCCGTCTTTTCTTCCTCTCAACTAAGGATTGACAGCAGGTCAAACTAGACTCTTTAACGAATTGCAGCCGGTCGATACAGAAGAACAATTCCGAATTCAAAGGCGATTTGGTGGAGACTAGAACCGTCACCCTCTTAAGGATCAGCTGACTACAGAAACCAAAGGAGCAACGGCTGATGTAATGGGTACGTAGCCCCTAGTTCACTCGGCAACAAATACTCATAACCTTGTGCCTTACTTAATCTTGTAAATATCAAACATGCCGTATTTGTCGTTGTATTCTGAAAGTTATTTATCAGACCTAAAGATAAGGCTTGGAATGGTTACTGGTTTTTATTAGGCGCTGTGGGGAGCTGCTGCTGATTGATTGGATCACACAAGACTACCAGGATCCGTCATGCCTTTTCTTCGCTTGTCAGAAAATCTAAATGGTGTTAAGATATTCCATTTTGGGAGCCTTATCTGAAAGGCTTATTCCTGAATGAACACCCGCTGGTCCTTCCCATACAGAGGAAGACCGAATCACCTCAGCGGGAAGAAAGAATGAAAGGCTCTTTCCTACGCATCTGCTTTCAAATCATAAAATTCAACCCTTCTATTCCTAAAAGCTCTTGATAGAGTTTTTTCTTATTTTTTTTTTTTTTTTTTTTTTGGCCTGATTTAAAATGAGAGTGTTTAATGATTTGTCGGTTAGTGCCTTCTACTTAATAACAAACCGACCTATATCCACAGGGAACTTTATTTATTTCGATTGCACGTCTGTTGAGTAGTGACATCAAGTCAACGTTCAAGTACCTACAAATGTCTCTAGGGTCGGTATTCACCCAGCAATATAATATTTAGACAATTTTGATACCTACCCAGGTTTGACAAGGCCAAGTAAAGTGACTACAGGGTTAGTCGGAAGCATCTAGTTGTAAATAAACATAGAAATGTTAGCTTAATGGTTACAGGTGCGGGATGCAAGATCGTCGATTCGTGTTCAAATCCTCGCTTAATATGTTGCGTTCACTTTCGCCCAAATGCGTTAAATAACATGATATACGAGTTTCGATAGCCTTGGGCCGTGACCTGTCTAAGAGGACGACTCTGAATTTAAAACCGTACTGAAGGCAACAGGAAGCCACTCATAATCTTTCTTATTATCAGAAGCTAATAATAAAGAAAGGAATGCGTGGAGAGTCATGACCGACTATATTCTGAAAGGAAATGTTATTAAATTGAAATTTCCCAACAGTTTAAACTAGGCTATCTAGCCTTGAGTGGCATTCAGTTTATGAGGTCTTTTTTGAATGCCACACCGTTGAGAGGGCGATAGGAAACTACTTCACTATCTTTCCCAAGAAACTATAATTCACAGATAATAAAGAACGGGAGAGCCATGATTGATTACGTCCTGGGAGAAGATTTGTAAAAGAAAATTATATAAAAAATTAAAGTACAAAATTAAATTAATATTTTACATTAAATTAAATTAAATATATTAAATTAAATTCAGAAAGACGTGAGATAACCGTTCAGACGAGGTGACGACTGATGTGACTGAAAAATTCAGAAAGAATTTCTGCATATTTCTTCAGTCCCCATGTCGGATGTCCTTTGAAAAGTACGATGACTTGGCGCTCAAAATCAGTGAATAGTTTAGCTATACGAAAAAAGCAGAATGAATATATTTATTATTGTAAAAGTATAATAATTGTGGCATATGGCCGAAGTGGGGCTGAGATAATCTGGTCTTCGCTATCCTAATCCTAGTTAATCATAATCACGACCTATTCATACAATACAATTGATCCATTGGCTACAAGAACTCATCCATCACCATTCAATCCTACATGTACCACAATGCCACATATTCACGGGCGGGGAGACCTACACCCCATAATATAAAAAATCTCATGAAAGAAACTGAGCTTTTAGATAAAAAAATATATAAAGAAAAGGACACGGACAACTTCAATAAAATATCTTTAAAGGTTAGTTTAAGTTTACATGATATCTGGTTTTGTTATTTTAAAAATATCTTTCTTTAACATATTAAAAATAATATACCTTGTCTGAATAAGGAGGTCGGATACCTTTTACTCCTTTGTATTAGTTTAGGGAAGCATTAATTGCTTTATAAGAAAATGCGTTAAACTTGCTAGCAACAATAGCCGACTAATCAGAATTCCAGAATTTTGTTATGCTCTTTTTAAAGGGTGACAAGTAAAAAAGAAAAAAAAAAGCGGTAAATTCAGAAAAAAACGTGGGACAACCGTTGAAAAGTGAAGAAGGCTGACGTGACTGAAAAAATTCAGGCAGAATTTCTGCACATTTCGTCAATTCCCACGTCGGATGTTCTTCTTTGAAAAGTACGATAACTTGGCGCTCAAAATCAGTTTGAAATTGTTTAGCCATATGAGAAAAACAGAACAGAAGAGAAAGTTGTCTACAAATAACTTTTAAATTACGAATCACAAGATCTAACAGCAACTAATCAATCATAAAAGAACCAATCAGAGTTAAGCGAGAGCCGAATGATTATTCAAGGTCATGTGCGTCCTGGGTAAAACGATAAACTACATCCGCGTCCTGGGTAAGACGAAAAACTACATCCGCCTTTTGGGTAAAACTACATCCGACAGAAGGGCCTTTGATCGGGTGGTTTTGTGGAGCGTGGACCCGCCTCTTGGTTGCTGATGTTCCCGGGTTCCCCCTGACCCCGGGTGGCGGGGACAAAAAGGAGTCAAAGCACCATGAAAGTATAAAATAGGTTTTAATACCAGCAATCCTTTTTTGGAAAAATTATTGCCGACGGTACATTTTTGAAAAGAATAATATTACCATTAATATATCTATTTTTTTAAATATTAGCAGCAATAAAAATCTTGTCAGCATTAAATAACCCATTGAGGTTGATATGCCGTGAAACAAAATAAACCCAAACCTTGATCTACAAACTGATTTCTTCCAAAGAATACATATTCTATTCATAAGAACCTATCCTAAAAATCTTGCCGGCATTAAATAACCCATTGAGGTTGATATGCCGTAAAACAAAATAAACCTAAACCCTGATCTATAAACTGATTTCTTTCAAATAATACATATTCTATTCAGAAGAACCTATCCTAAAAATCTTGCCGGCATTAAATAACCCATTGAGGTTGATATGCCGTAAAACAAAATAAACCCAAACCCTGATCTATAAACTGATTTCTTTCAAAGAATACATATTCTATTCAGAAGAACCTATCCTAAAAATCTTGTCGGCATTAAATAACCCATTGAGTTTGATGTACCGAAAAACAAAACAAACCAAACCAAGGTCATGAATATTCAAGAAATTTATTTATTATTATTTAAGGTTAATTATTCCTAAAAGATTAAACAGTGATAATAACTCCCGCAGCTATTTTTACTGGGAGCCTTGTATATTAAATTAAATATATTTAATTAAATTAAATATATATTTTTCATTAAATATATTTCATTAAATTCATATTTTTCATGTTTGCTAGTTTATAACAGTAATAATATATTTTCCTACATGCGAAAATGTACCTCTGGGATCCGAAGCACATCGTAACTAAGCAAAAGGAGGCATACTATCGCGATGCGATGATTTTACCCAGACAATTAAATGCCATCCGTGAACCACCCTTGGGTGAACATGTCTCTTTCGATTTATAATTGACTAGGCAGAAGATTTTGCCGCAGTAGGTTGTCGTTTCTTTCTGTTGCAGACTGGTTGCCAACCAAGGCTATAGTACCAATTCTGTCCTGATATTTAATCCATATATTGGGTGGAGAATAAATGGATTCATACCTTTCTGAAGCTATACAACTGGATTACATAAAGGACCCCATATAGA